CTTTAAAACTCGTTAAAAATAAGTGAATCTTCTTTTAGAAGCTAGCTTAAGGGGTTAGCTTTAAAATAATTTAAAATCCATGGAAAATAATGAGTTTAGACCCCCCAAAATGGCCGTCGTTCGAGGAATGTGCAATCTGTTTTGGGGGTTGTGTCACTCAAAAGGGGTAGGGTAATGATGATTACCTTAAACTCATCCAAAACTCTTGAAATTTGGGAAAAGTCTGTTTAACTCTCTTTTATGGTAGATATAAAATTTGGACATACAAAGAGTTGTAGAAGGTTCCTTTTTGGCAATGAATTGTGAGAACAAAATGTCAGATTTAGAATTTATATTCTGTCCAAATGGCAGCTTTATGTGTAAAGGAATTGATTATAAATATATACATTTCTGGACTATTTTCAGAGCAATTAAAATAAGTATCAACCTTAATTCATAAAACCCATTGGCATTACATAAGATATGATTTGACTTTATCTTTGTCAAGAACCCATAGATGATCTAATTTCTGGTCATTGGGCTGTTTAGGAAGGTTAGGGCAGGACGTGTAGAGCTTCAGACGTCATCTCCTTGGATATTCATCGGCAAACTTGTGAGTTTCCACGGCCCCACTTTTAATGTTTTTTGTTTATTTAAACTGGGGGAAAAGCATGAAGTTATGCAAACTATACTGTTTATTTATGAAACCATCGAACTAAAGAACTGTTTAGTCGATGCTTTGCTTAAAACCATTGGACTAAAGAATTGTTTAGTCAAAACCGTTGGACTAAAGAACTGTTTAGTCAAGTTTTGTTTATGTCATGAAATATTGACTGTTTTGCACTATGATATAAATGCTAAATTGATGTGCTTGGGAGTATGTTTCCAAATAAAGTCCCCGTCCGTAAACACTACTTGTTAACTCGGGCATGTTCCCGGGCCATGGTAATTGTGGATAGCCGCTATTGTGTTGACAGTCCCACCCAGAAAGGGGTGCACGTTACCTATGTTTTATTGGTCTAATCATGTAGAATTTGGACCACCGCTGAATTAGTACTATTACAAACTGTGGGACCTAAGTGAGTATACGAGCTACTTATGGTCGTTCGTAAAATAATGGGGCACATTGGTCAGGAAAGGCTCAGTAGTGTCTCAAGTTTCTAAACGTCGTTATAGATTTACATTTATTATGTGCAAAAGTTGTGTATAGTTTTGCAAGAAATGATTTATGCATTGCAACGTTTTGTGCATGTGAAAACCCGTGAACTCACCAACTTTTTGTAGTTGACTTGTTTTATGTTTCATGCTTTTTAGGAAGTAAGTAAGAAATGAAGTTTTTGGGGCATGTTTGTGGCGATACCGATTAAGCTCACCGTTGAAGTTTTTGTAAAGAAGTATTTTATTCCATCTTAGTTATGGATGTTAAATTTGAACTTTTGTAAAACTTGAATGGTGTTATTTATTATCTGTTGCTGTGACTCGCTTACCTGTTACACCTCGTGTTTCCGCTTTAACGGGGTGTGACAGCAGTGATGGAATTAGAGATCCCTGTAGAGCTTATGGTTATGGGTGATTTTATTTTCCACTCATGCTTGGTTCGTTGTTGAGTATTTTCAAAAGGGTTTAGTGGGGGAAATTCATCTTGGTATTCGGATGATGATGATGTTGTTGGGGTAATTACACAACCTTCCTTTTGGGCTTGCTTCTGGGGACTTTTAGGGAGTGGATTATGACAAGCTTCACGAGTCATGATTGGAGATTTTCCGTAGAGAACATAATAGTCGAACTTTTCTGATGGTTCACCAAGAAGTCCTACCGTAGGATCTCCTTCTTCATATCTCTTTTTTAACTTGTGTTAAGAACCCTTCTTTTTTGGAATGTCTTCATCATACTCAACTCAGTATGCCTCATCTAGGAACTCTTGACAATAGCAGACATCATAACATCAATGTTTTACTGGCTGTGTAGGTTGAACTAGCTCAACCATGTGGACTGTAGAAAAGATGTTGGGTTTTTTATGGGAATAGAATTTGACTTCTACAAGTCCGTTTTCATGTCGGATGAAGTCTAGGGTCGTGGTAGTTTGTACTGGTACTTGGTGGATCTGCTCGTAGGTAGTTATCTATTTTTCTGGTAGTAGCTTGAGTAACTCTTCTTTGGACAACTGTCTGGGGACGTAGGTACATGTGGGTGTTGCACTTGAGTTGATATCTATGAATAGTGCGTCTCCAGCATGTTATTGATTTGGCACCATGATATCTAGAGAATGGTTTTGTACTCGGTACGCCATCTGGTAATGAAATGTTGTCTATAAGGTGTTCACTTGAGGAGTACCACCAATCAGAATTTAGGCCTTAGGTGTCGTATGTAAATAAGAATCATTGAGCGTCATGTTGAAGTTTGGATAGAAAGTGACAAAGATGGTTCCAACATTTAGAGTAGTTTGGATTGTTCCTATAAAGGCATGCTGGTATTCTGCAAACCTTGTGTCTACTAGAGCAATGCGTGAAAATGCAGGGAGGCCTTTCCTACCTTGGAAGGTAAGGGCCAGTTCGATAGCTCCAAAGTGGATATGTGTATACCTTGAGCCATGTAGTGTCTAGGAAGGTCTGTTGGAAGGGACAGTGTCACTAATTGATTTGATGTGGTTGTTGGGAGTTGGTGAGAGTCAAATTTAGAAGCTTGGACAAACTCCTTAACTTGTTCGTGGGAGGTTGATCCTATTAATTTTTTTACTCTTGTTGAAAAAGAAATATTGGGCTTAGAAAATACATTATAGGGATTAACTAAAGGCATACTCGTGATAGGTATTCTAGAATCATCTGGGACATAAGAAATTTCATATAATTGATTTATTTTAGAGGCATAAGACTGTCTAAAACTAGAAGAAGAATGTGATAAGCTATGATCTGGATTCATGACTTGGTTTAACACTACTTATTCCATCTATCCTGTTGTTGAGACTGGCTGCGACTTCTTTCTACGTCGACCTACGAATACTAACAAGGAAGATGGAAACAAGAAAGTGCAAATCAGCAAAATCTCTAGCTTATATCTTCAATCTCTTCTCTATAGGATGGTTTTCTGGTGTGACAGATCCGTGTATAGACGACAATCACAGATCATACTAATCCAATCATATAGAAAGGTGAAGACGGATAAAGATTAACAAAGGGCAAGGGATGGACTCTGATACCATATTCGAAATAGGAAAACTCATAATGCTCTAAAAAGTGATTTGATTGGCATATATGACAAAAAATTGACCCTAATAGTTAACTATGTTATTTACGTCTTTTATATATGTAATTTTGTACTTCTTTCTATAGTATGTTTTATTTATTTCCAATTATAAGTTTTTTATATTTATAAATACATTTTAAAATATGAAATCGTTTTTATTTATTTTTTATTTAAAATTA